GTAAGACTTTACATAGGTCTAAACTACTTTTCCCTCATTTTAAAATTTATGCTGTAAGTCATTTTGTTTATTAAAGAATTTGTGTATATATCTCAGAGAACAATTTAAAATTATCAAATTTTTAACCCAAAATGAGAATTGTTCTTTATTCATATAACTTCTAATGATGGAAGTTATATGAATCAAAATGTTTTCTTTTTTAACTTTTGTGGAAAATATTTCTCAGTGACCTATTTAAAGTCTTACTAATTAAAAAATGATTCTTTGGTGAACACTTCCAAAGTACAGGGCACTGTGTCAAGAGCTATGCCGAGACCAAGTGACCAACCAAGTCATTGGCTCAGAGGATCCTCAGAAAAAAAAAAAAAAATGTTGCAGAGTATGAGTAAACCAGGACATGATTCTTTGATAGTTAAAATGTAACTAATGCATGTTTTCTAGGCATGTCCCTGTATTACTCTCAAGTTCGCAAAGCTGTAGACAACATTTTAAGGCACCTTGATAAAGAGGTGGGACGATGCATGATGTTAACTAACATCCAGATGTTAAATAAAGAACCAGAAGACATGATCACGTGAGTACAGTGCGGCCTGCTAAGGAGGGGAGAGGAGGCAGAAAACAGGTGGAGTCTTCCCATTTCCTCTCCTACCTGTGCTGATTTGATTTGGTCTTACCTTCCTTGACTGGATTTCTGAGGAGTGGTCAGGATAGTAAAAGAAATACACTGATAATATTCAACTAAAAATAAGTTCAAAACTGAGATTGACCTAGTTGGGTTATATCTTGTGTCATTACGCCAGTAAAATGAGACCCACAACTCATTCTGGCCCACATAAAGGTCTGGATTTAATGTAGATGTGTTTTCCTTATGATTTCACCAGTGCTTCAAACTGTTTCTAAGATAATTCTTTACTTTTTCACATTCAACCCCAAATAAGGCTAGGAAGATTTTTCATGATAGATTTTAGAGGCAGATTCCTGAGTGGAAAATAACTTGCAGTAAAATGAGACCCACAACTCATTCTGGCCCACATAAAGGTCTGGATTTAATGTAGATGTGTTTTTCTTATTATTTCACCAGTGCTTCAAACTGTTTCTAAGATAATTCTTTACCTTTTCACATTCAACCCCAAATAAGGCTAGGAAGATTTTTCATGATAGATTTTAGAGGCAGATTCCTGAGTGGAAAATAACTTGTTGCTTCATTAAAAAAAAAAACAAAAACAAAAAAAAACAAAAAACAAAAAAAACAGAAATGTTAGGGAATCATACAAACATTTGGGTGGAGGTGCATAGCACTAATGGGAAGTCATCTGAGCTGGTATTTGAGGCTGGTCCACCACGTTCCCAGGCCCTGTTTAGGATATTAACTTGAGCAAAGAGCATTCTGTATTGCTTAACCTCCATTCCTCATTTCTTTTGCAGCTAGGTTAAAAAAAAAGAAGAATATAAAGAAAAGAACAAATTTAAAAAAATTTAGTATCTGTTAATAAAAGTTTGTTTTATGTTATTTTGGTGGGTTCACATGCCTCCCATAAAAGCCCCGAGACAAAGCCTGTGTTCAGAAGAGGAAATCACACATCAATTGGTTTCTGATTTAGGCTTGCTTTATCAGCTTAGAAGTCTGCCAGAGCTTGCCTTACACTTTAGGCCAGGCAGGGTTATCTGTCTTCCGACAGATACGAAAGTAATCCCAGCTGTTTAAAACATCTGGTGAGCCAGCTAAGAGTGCTTCTTAAAGCCTTCACTGTTCCCCATGACCAATTAGGAGCCATCACCAGCCTGTAACTCTGGCTATTGAGGAGGTCGTGTGAACATCTTTCTCCATCAACTGATTGGAAGTCACTGTGCAGTCTCCTCCCTCTGGAACCCTCATACTGCTCTTGCAAGAGGTCCATGAAAAAGAAGAGAAAATAATCTGTGACTTTCCACAAAAGCAGAGTCCTTTAGAAGTCGACATACACGTTTTGTTTTTCACTTGAGGATATCAAAAGGCTTGAACTTGAACTTACTCAGTTTTTATTTTTGCAGCACTAGGATGGAACCTAAGGCCTTGCACATACTTGGCAAGCACTCGACTACTGAACTATATCCCTAGCCCTGAATTTATTCTTAGCACACTTACAAAAGCATTATTGCAAGTAATGTTATGAATCAAGATTGCTATTTGACTGTGATCATTCAGTTGTAGAGAATGGATTTTGTTGCATTTCTGTTCTGACCACAGTTAGGGTACTAAAAGTCCCAGGAGGGGTTACTTATATGCTTCTTTGCATCTTAATTATTGGATCTGTATCCTACAATTGCATTACTTTGGTACTACATTTATATTTATTCTCAGAAGACTGAATCATAAGAATTTAGATATGTTGCTAGCTCCTATCACTTTGGTTACTTGAAAGACTTGATAAGTAGTTTAATTTTTCCATAAAAATTATTGTTACAGTGAGTAACAATCACATATTAAATCAATTGTAAATTAAAATCACACCACAAAATAGAATGATTCCTCCATATCTGTAGAGGATTATTTCCAGGATACCCACACTCTCAAAGATACCAAAGTATAAAGATGCTCAAGTTCATTAAAACATCATGGTATATGTATGCACAGTCTCCTATACGTTTTCAGTCACCTCTAGATTACTTGTAATACCTAACACAATGTAAATACAATGTAAGTAGCTCATACACCACACAGTTGTAATAGATTTCAGGATTTTACTTGTCATAAAAGAATTATTCGTAAGCACTTAATTTTTTTGAAAAACTGGGGAATGAGCTCTAGAAAAGAAGCAAAACTCATCAGAAAGGTTTGCAGATGTCCCTCTTGTAAAAGCCACCACCACTTGTAAACATTCAAATCCCATTCCAAATGCTAGATGGAGTGGGGCTGGAGAGATGGCTCAGTAGTAAAAGTGCACTGGCTGCTCTTGTAGAGGGCCCAAGTTCCATTCTCAACACCCACATGTTGACTAATAACCATCTATAACTCCAGTGGTACACAGAAATGCATGCAGGCAAAACACTCACACATTAAATAGGTAATAAATAAATAAATAAATAAATAAATTTTAAAGCTAGATGGAGAATTGGTGCAATATACTTGGTGACCTTTTAGTGATTTCAGTGTTTTAAAGCAGCCCACAGGGACCAGTCCCCACAGAACCCAAATGAATAGCAAGCCTGTGGTGAACTGCTATTGATATCAGTGTTTTCTGAGATTTGTGCCTTAGAATTATGTCTAGACTTTTTCAAATTCTTTAAACATAATGAAGCTTTGAGGAGCATAAGCATTGAAGAATGAATGGGGCCAGCCCCAGGTTGTTCTTAGAAGGCATCGGCTGGGTACTAGTCTTAGTTCACATATTTAATCAATTGTTTTATTTATTAATTTTCATAACTCTTTGACCTATTTAAATTCTGTCCTCAAACTCTAGGGGTGAGAGAAAGCCAAAAATAGATCTTTTCAGGACCTGTGTTGCTGCTATCCCTCGACTGCTTCCTGATGGGATGTCAAAACTTGAACTTATTGATTTGCTGGCCAGGTAGGTGAGAACTGTCATGGATGTTATTCTACCAAAATGGATTTTAATCTTTTGTCATGATTCAAAAGAGAGTAGAATTATTATTTTTCAGTTAATAGGTATTTAATTAATCAAATACTATTCTAAGCTGTATGTATGGACAAGAATAAGAAACTTTTTTTTTGTAGTACTGGATGTTGAACCTAAGGCCTCACTCATGATCAGCAGATACTTTGCCACTGAGATCCCATACCTCTTTTTACTTTATTTTGAGACAGGGTCTCACTAACTTACCCAGGCTGGCCTTGGACTCGCTCTGTAACCCAGGGTATCCTTGAATTTATGAGCTTCCTGCTTCAGCCTCACAAGTAGCTAGGGTTACTAGCGTGTACCATGAAGCCTGATTTGAAACTTTTAAATATATATATTATTTTTTCCATGCTCAAGGGGTTTAAAGTCCAATTTAAAACAAATACCTAAGTGTATAAGGTAGCTAAAACCCAAGGATGGGACTGTACAAATGAATGGCACAGAGTAGATCCATGAGTTCAGTGGGCAGCAGGATCACTGTAGACTGACAAAGTCAATGAAGAAAAGGTGCATTTTGAACTGTTTTCTGAGGAGAAGCTGGGGTTCAGAACGGTGAAGAGAAGGACATGTCTAGCTGGAAGAGTTCACTTAGGCTCTGACCCTCAGTTTGAGGCCTCCAGATCCTCTTACAAGACCAGAAAGAGACTGGTAATCTTAAACTAATTTTAGCACTTCAGAAAGCTACCAGAAATCATATTTAGCATTCTTCCCACTCCACAAGACTTCATAGCCCAACTATAATCTAAAAACCATTTGCTTTGAGTGAAATTATCTCATTATTTAGTAAGCTTCATTATCTCCTATAATCTGAAACTCCAGTTGACAACACGTCTTTGTTTTAAATGAAACTGACTACTACCTAAAAGCAGCATAGAAGGTAAAATTATCAAACACATAGGATGCAGGAAATAAGGGAGAACAAAAGCCATCATTGAGTTAATGGAAAAAGGAAGAAAAAACAGGAGTTTGGAAAGTATTCTAGTTCATTTTGTTGTACCCCATCCACTGGACCCCAAAAAGACCACCAAGGACCCAACACACCAAAATGCAAAAGCAAAGGTTTATGGTTTATTCGGGCTTAAGCTCAGGCTCTCAGACCTCACCAACTCAACGGATCCATGCTGAGAGCCCAGAGTAAGGGAGAGTGGAGCCTTTTATAGGTTTTAGACAAAGAGGGGGGAGATACCGAAGATACATTTTGGTTGGTTCAAGGAGCCCGTGCGCGCCAACATAATTTTAAACCGATTGGATGTATAAGATGCAGCCCTGGAAGTTTCTTATTGGTAGGCGCTATTCTCAGGGCTGTGGAATGTGCTGTTTTTACCTTATAGGGCAGTTTTTATGCTCGGGCTTGCTTAATCTATAGTTTCCTGGAAGGGGGGTGGGGAATAGCAGGCGGGGGTCAGGGCATGCCAGGGTATGTCTAGGCATGTCTAAAGCAGCAGCCAAGTATTTTACAGAAGCTAAAAGAGCAATTAGTGGGGGTCTGGAGGGATTGGGGGGTAGCAGGTGAATGAAGAGGGTCTCAGGGTTCTACAATTTCTGTGATAAAACACTGACTATAAACAACTTGGGGAGTGTTCTAGTTTGCTTTCAATTTGTTGTGACAAAATACTCAGACCAATATCAACTTGGGGAGTAAAGGGTTTATTTATGTATTTTTTATTACTTTTATTTTATGTGTATGAGTGTTATGCCTGCATGTAGGTAAGTGCACCCGTGTCATACAATGCCCATGGAGAACCGAAGAGACTGTCAGATCCCCTGGAACTGGAGTTACAGACAGTTTTTAGCCACCATGTGGGTGCTGGGATTCGAACCCGGGTCTTCTGCAAGGACAGTCAGTGTTCTTAACCACTGAGCCATCTCTCCAGCCCCAGAAAGGGTTTATTTTGTCTTACATCTCCCAGGTCATGGTTCATCACTGAGGGAGACCAAGGTCGGAACTCAGTGCAGAACCTGGAGGCAGGAGCTAAAGCACAGGCCATGGAAGATAGCTGCTTACTGGCTTTCTCCCCTGGCCAATGCTCAGACTTCTTCCTTATACAGTACAACCTGTCCAGCAGTGGCACTGTCCACAGTGGGCTGGGCCCTCCCACATCTCTCAAAAATCAAGAAAATATCCCAAAGTCCAGTCCAATGGAGGCAATTCCCCAATTGAGGCTCCCTCTACCCAGATGGGTCAAGTTGACACCTAAAGCTATCCAGCACAGGGAGGAAAGGGTTTATTGCATCTTAACTCTTATAAGTGATAGTCCGTCCTTTTTTTTCCCCTTTGGTTTTGTGAAACAGGGTCTCCCTGTAGCCCCAGCTAGCTAAAACTAGATACATAGGCCAGGCTAATCTCAAACTCAAGAGATCTGCCTGTCTCTGTCTCTGCCCTCTGAGTACTGAAATTAAAGGCACCACCACCACACCTGGCCCTACAGTTCATCTTTGAGGGAAGTCATGCAGGAACTCAGGGAAGGAACCTGGAGACAGGAACTGAAGCACAGACCACAGAGGAACCTTGCTTTCTGACTTGCTTCCCCTCAGCCTGCTTTTTTATATAAGCCAGGACCACCTGCCCAGGGGTGGCACCACCCAGAGTGGACTAGGCCCGCCCACATCACTCAGCAATCAAAGAAAATGCCTCACAGACATGGCCACAGGCCAGTCTGATACAGGAAATCCCCCAATTTCAGTTCCTTCTTCCTAGGTATCCCAAGTTGACTACAGAAGCCAAGCATGACAGAAATCCAATGATAAAAAAACATAAAAGGAAATGAGCTGGGGAAATGGATTTTCAGCTACAAGGGAATGCAATAAAAATGCCATTTAGGTCTCAGAAGGTAAAGGTACTTGCCACCAAGCCTGTAAACCTGAGTTCAATCTCCAGGACCCACATGGTAGAGGAGAGAACCAACTCCTAGAAGTTGTCCTCTGACCTCCCCACACATGCCATGGCATACACATAGCCACACATGCACAATAAATACATAAAATTTTTGTGCCATTTTGGGTTCGTCAGTCTGATAACGTTGGCATAAAGGAAAGCCTAGAGCAGAGTAACACATATTAATGCTGACCCAGTGAAAGATGTACCATGTATAACCTCGGTTACACCATTCTCTAGCCTTCTGCGAGCCTCTTCCCCTCTGATTCCAAATAAAGGAACTCAATTTGTGATCCTATGGACCAAACATCCTCAGGCATCTAGGTGTCCCTGGGGAGTTGTGCCTCTCTGTTGTTGTTGTCAGGGTCCTCTCTGCCATAGACAGCTAGTTTGAACCTATCTGTTGATCCCCTCTGGCTCTTAGATAATAGATCTTATTACCTAATGTCCTTCCCATCCTTCCCGAACACCACTAGCATAAGGATGATGCTGGCTGTGATGGCTACTGAAGATCCATGACCTTCAAAACTGGTATCCCAAGCCTTAGGGTTCTCTGACAAAGCCTTCTACCCTTCTAGCTGCCATTTGTTACCCATCAATCACTGTAGCCTGTGATTGATTGATTGATTGATTGATTGATTGATTGATTGATTGATTGATTGATTGATTGATTGATTGATTGATTGATTGATTGATTGATTGACTGACTGACTGAGTGGCTGACTGACTGATTGATTGATTGTGTGCACGAGTGTCTTGCTTGCATGTGTGTAAGTGACCCATACATGCAATACCTGTGGAGATCAGAAGAGGGTATCAGATTCACTAGAACTGGAGTGGGTGCTAGGAATCGAACCCCAGTCCTCTGTAAGAGCAACCAATACTGTTAACCACTGAGCCATCTCTCCAGCCTCTGTAGCCTGTGATATGCTCTCATCAACAGCCTTCACCCAATGGAGGCTTCTATTTCCAATTCCATGCTTGGAACATACTTTAAGATGAATGTGGACTGAGGACAGAGTTCAGTATAAAAGACCTTGTATCCATGTGCGAGGCCCTAGGTCAAGTCTCCAGTATCACAGAAGGAAAAGCAAAAAGTTAAAAAGTATATAAGGTTTAGACACTTAATAGGCTTGGCTTTGCTGAGGCCCAGCAACTGGAATGTAAGTGCAGAGCACATTTGCTGGAAGCAGCAAGGCTGAGAAAAGAGGAGGAAATGGCCTGAACTGAAGGCAGCTTCTAGTTCCTGATGAGGAGACCCAAGAGGGACAGTGAAATTTGGGCAAAGGAAGAAAGACGAATGAAGAGATTAGGCTACTGTGAGGGTCATCCACTCATCGTCTCCCAGGATGAGAGCAGAGACCAAGAACAAAGAAAATGTATAGACAAATTCCAGCATGAAATGCATAGAAGCCACATGCCAGCTGGACAACAACAGAGAAGTTGACTACTGGATGTCAGTATTCCCATGGCAGGGGACCGGAGGCTGGATGTGACCATGAGTAGTCAGTAGCTAAGATTCCTCTCCACGGCCACATGGACCACCAGAGAACAAGGGGCTGCTCTCTGAGTGACGGGGGAGGCAGTAAGGGCAAACAGGGAGATGGCAGAATTGTCTTGAAAGCCTCAACTTGGTATCCCCACTTGCTGTTTTACTACTTATGTGATCTAAACATGTTATTTAAACCTTCAGCATACCTCCTTTCCCTTGGTAAAATTTTGGTAAGATTGGAATAATGCTACCTGTCTCTTAGGACGTTTGAGAGGGTTAAATGGCCTAAAGCATCTGCTGGGTTAGTCAAAAGCCTGTGGGGAAGAACCAGTTATCAGTTTAAAGTGGGCTGGGGGGACAGACTTGGCTTCGTTCAGTGATCTAGCTGGTGATTGCATACACTAAGGCCTTGGAAATGGCAGGCATTTTAGAAGACATACAGCTTCTGGGAAAGCTTCTAACACTAATTTGCTGTAGAGCTGTACAGAAGGCTCTTACCTCTGAAATCACCTTGACAGTCTAATCTGGTGACGCTAGAATCTGCAGTCCTTGGTGCCAGACAAG